AACTTTTTATTCCCGCTCCTCTCCCCCTCCACCCCATCCTTTATTAAGTTATGAATTCTCAGGAGGACTTTCCTCCTTGTCTTTTGTCAGCTTAGTTGTTTTAAGAGCCTTTTGTATGAGGGACATTGTTAAATGTTTTTTAAAAATCTTAAGTATTTGCATTGGCTGGGTCGCTTTTAAACACAGACTTGCTGGTTCTTTGGAAAACTTGAGAGACTCCTGAGGAATGATTTCTCTCTGCAAAAACCATATTGACTCTTCAGTGTTGTATCATGTTTTTCCATGTGTCTGCTCATTTGATGGTTTTTTTTTTTCACCTCATAATAACCAGGAGAAACTACAGTATTTAACTATAGCATTTATTATTTCAAAGTTTCCAGTATTACTAATAGAGCTCTCTTTAAAGACTGCTGATGATACTTTACTTCACGGTCTTTAGGGATTACATGGAATTTACAGAGGCAGGCTGAAATTTGTGGTTCGGCTTGGTTGGGTTTTTTTTTGGGGGGTGGGGTATGTTGCATTTACTGATTACAGCTTAAGAATAAAGTATCTAGTATCCAGTGTTCTTGCTCATACTGTATGATCTCCTTGTACAAATCTTCCTTTCCACTTATGCCTCTGTATGCCTTTGTCTGGAAGTACTAAGGCCTTGCTAACAGTCTATAATCAAGCTATTCCTAAAACTAGCACTAGCAGGCTTCATCCGCATAATTACCTTTTTATCTGCAGCTAATTTATAGTATGAATTAACATAGTACATTCCAGTTCACCAAGCAGCAGTGCATTCATTTTCTTATTTCATCTTTGTTACTTCAGATAATTTTTTGTCGTTTCTGGATTGGAAGTGATGTGTAGAGGGTTTTAAGACTGAGAATGTTCAATAGCTCAAGGGAAAAACACATTTCAACAATATGGCAAAACTCTCACAGTGACCTCAGCAATGTGAGGAGAAAGAGTTCTAAATGTTGTGATGCTTGATCGTCAAAACAGTAATGCATTAATTTATTTAACAGAAGAAAAAAGGCAACAAAAAACCCCACACTTGCTTCCCATTAATTTTTTGCACTGGAGGACAAGGCTTCATTAGATTTCCAATATGAGTCAGATGTGGAAGCAAAATCTTCAGAGTATTAAAATATGCTTGATAGCATTGTAGGACACGAAGATGATGTGGAATGCAGAAGATGGCGTATGGTCCCTGGTTTTGTCCTTCGGGTGGACTTAGCCTTGTGTAATTGTATCCGTGACTAAAAATAGTTTGTGTAGGTATGTCAAACTCACTCCCTTTTGCTCTTTGAAGGTGGACTTAAGGAGCTTAATTGTTTTCCCATCTCTAATGATTTTGTTCTTCCTTGGTTTTTTGCCTGCCTGAAATCTTAAATTAGTACAGTTTAATTGACTATCATAGATGCAGCAAATGCAATGTAAGCTAAATTTTTATATGTAGAGAGATTGATGTATAGAAATATATGGAGGTACATATATTTGTGTGTATGTATAATTAAGTGTGTGTGTGTACATACCATCATGAATATTGACAATAGCAAAACATTCAACACCAATTTCACTTGCTTTTTCTGTAGGAGAGTATTACTGCAAGTGCTGACTTGGATATCCGAGACTGTTAGTTTTCGTAGCCTGAAGGTCAGCAGGTGTGCTTGGGGGAAAGATTTATAGGATTATGGTCAACCAAAATGAAGGAGCTGCTGTGAAAGGATAAATTTAGCGAAGCATGAAGTATGTCATGTTCGGAGCACTGCACAAGATATTAACAGCACTCTGGGAAGACTTTATCATGATGATTTGTTGTAATGTGCAGGCTACTCTCCCCTTATCCAACTTAACAGTGGCTCACTTTAGAAGCAGTATTGTACTTCAGGCACATAAGAAAACAACATCCTTCATCTGAAGAAGCCCCC